ATTGAGAGTAAGACTTATAGTTTAAAATGTTGGGGCATCTCAAAAGCCCATTTTAGACAAAAATGATCCATGTGGGGCATTTTGAAGGCCTACATCAATATGAATATTTGGGCATTTTTGAAAGCTCATATTAGCAAGAAGCAAATATTGGGGCATCTCGAAAGCCCATTTCAGACATAAATGATCTTTGTGGGGTATTTTGAAGGTCCAATTCAGACAGATCCATGTGGGACATCTTGAAAGCCCATTTCAATCAAAAATTAGAATATTAACGCATTTTGAATGTTTGTATCAGTAAATACGGGGGCATACTGAAAGCCCATTTCAATCAGAATCAGGAATGTTGGCGCATTTTGAACGTTTGTATCTGCAAATACAGGGGCATGCTGAAGGCTCATATCATCTTATGAAAAGATCGTTACTTTGAGCAAATATTTCCAATAAGACAGAAAGGAATGAAGAATAACAATTGTGAAACTGTGACAGTATTGCTGACTATATAATTGCTTCGTTCATCAAGCAGTTACATTAAGGTTCTATTGTTAAACAAATATCTACTCAGCAAGTATGGTTTCAAATACCCAATCTTATTAACCATATGTCATATGACAGCGTGTTCTTTGTAAAGATACATCACGGTTGCATGAATAAAGATGATCCCCATGTAGACCATTCTATCCAAGGTTCAGTTTCTCAAAGTCTCGGCTTTGAATTTTGTATTCTGTGTGTCGGTGATGATTGGAAATATTTCTTTGAGATTCCTGGCAGTTAGTTTTAATCATACTGTTGGGGGCTACGAAACTATTTTTTCACAACAGTTTTTGTTTACTTGATGACATTGAAGATGGAGGCTCGACTTACGTACATTACCCTTATTCCCGTTGTTACTGGATTATCATTGCCAGTCAGGATGAATTAAGTTTTCATCTATTTGGTTTATCATGTGCGTTTTATCTACAGCAGCAAGAATTCCATGATCATTCTTCTGTACATGGCTCCTATAGCTGATGTGTTTCTACTTCTTACAACACTCATTATGAAAGAAAATGTGATTGGTATCACCCTTGCCCTTGCCTGAGATGATATCAAGATCATTTGCTATCTCTTATTCAATTCAGCACTAGCATATTTTATGAATTTTACCAACTTTTTGGTCATAAAACACACCAGCATCCCATTTGTATTCCCACTGAGTTTTGTTCTCAAGTGGTCTTGTGACATCATACAAAAGCTTTGAACACTCTGCAAAGAGCTTTATTGATGAGAAACCTGGGCAGAAGCCACAGGAAAGAATGAATGTGTTGTCAAATGTTGTACGAGCATCTAAGCAGAAACCACATGAGATGATGAATGTGTTGTCAAGTGTTTTATGAACCAGTGATTATGGTGTTGAACCAATGTTGTGATCATATGGTTTTCATTTATTGATACAAAATAAAGCTTGTCTTCTTCAACCCCAAGCTTAGAAGTGAGATATGATGAAGATTTCTTTCCACAGAAGGAGGGCTGAAATTTTAACAACAAGAAAATAGTGGAGCCAACTAAGATTAAACAATAGGTTATTGTTAAACATCTCGACATGATATGGTCCAAGTTGCCTTGTTCGAGATTTGATTAGATGTGGAGACATGAAATAAATTAGGATAAATCCTCCTTGTGATGTGTTTCAAGAGTCAAATCAAAACATATGCTACTCTCTTAATTAATCTCTGTTGAGTTTAACATATCTACATTCTTCAAAGATGAAAGATTCTCTCTTCAAAGATGATATATTCTTTTTTCAAAGATGAAAGCTTTATTGGACTTATATACAAGTCCAGATGAAGAAAGCCGATGTTATCAAAGACTAAATGGGGCATCAAGGTCATAGTTATGACTACGGCAAGAGTTCCATAAATGAAACATTTCTTCTGAGACTTAAATGAAACAAAGAAGACACAAAGATGCAAATTGATCAGATGGTTCTTCAGAAATGAGAGCTTGATAGCATAAGTTGCTACACTGATATCCAAAGGTAACCCTGGAAATAAATGATCAAGTGAAGGAAGACCGAGTTCACCACTTTGAAGTCAAATGAAGATTGCATCAACATTCATGCATTCATAAAAACATCATTTGCACAATAAACAATGCATTACATTGATACATCTGATTGCATTCAAATATGAAGTTTTACAGATCTTCGTATGAAAAAAGAAGATCCAAAATGGAATACCTTACAAAGGGAAGGTAGAATTCAAATCACATCAGGAGAGGCACACATCTGAAGAATAAATGGTCGCATTTCACAAAAGAAGTATTATTTTGGGGTATGTTACCCAATCAACAAGTTATTTCAATGAGAAAACGATTTCCAAAGTTTGTCATTTAATCTTTTCTAAAAATGAAATTTTTGAATAGTAAGAAAACAATTTCCAAAGTTTCTTACTTAGTAAACTATTTCCCACATCTGTAAGCCCTTCAGTGTATAATGTTTTCAAAAAGCCTTCAGAAGCTTTTTGATGTTTTCAAAGCCTTCGGGTCATCTGTAAGCCCTTCAGTGCATGATGTTTTCAAAAAGCTTTCGGGAGCTTTTTGATGTTTTCAAAACCTTCGGGTCATCTGCAAGCCCTAAAGTGCATGATGTTTTCAAAGCCTTCGGGTCATCTGTAAGATCTTCAGTGCAGGATGTTTTCAAAACCTTCGGGTCATCTGTAAGACCTTCAGTGCATGATGTTTTTAAAACCTTCAGGTCATCTGTAAGACCTACAGTGTAGGATGTTTTCAAAACCTTCGGGTCAACCATAAGACCTACAGTGCAAGATGTTTTCAAAAAGCCTTCGGGAGCTTTTTGATATTTAAAGCCTCCGGGTCATCTGTAAGACCTATAGTGCATGATGTTTTCAAAACATTCGGGTCATCCATAAGACCTACAGTGCAGGATGTTTTCAAAACCTTCGGGTCATTCGTAAGACCTACAGTGCAGGATGTTTTCAAAGAATATTTTAGAAACCAAGCTTTCAGGGGTTTCTTGATTTGAATTCTAGAGATCAACAAAGATTCGAATCCATCACTCGATGCATCAATTTCCAGAAGGAGATTATAATAAGAAGAACTTATAGTTCAGAAGTTTGAACATTTCAAGCTAAAAATGATGTTTTATGTCTTTGCTCCATTCCTATTCCACAACAACAAGCAAAGAGGGGCAGTTGTAATCACCATTTTTACCTCCATCCAGCAGCCCCTCCACGTGCATTTCCAGTAGTTTCCATCCAGCAACCCCTCCACATTGTAGCTCTAACAGCTCCTAGCACAAACGACAGCTGCCCTCCACGTCGCAGCTACAAGGTGACTCACCGAACTCGACCCTTGTGACCGGTCCGAGCAGGGCTCCGTGGTGGCTATAAAATCCACCGAATCCTGCAAAAGAAAGATACACAACCACCACCAACAAAAAATCCATATCTACAAAACTGAAAGAAAAGAGAAAAGAAAGAAGAGACTTACCATCGAGGAGTCGAACGTCGCCGGAGACACCGTAGAACCGAAGGTAAAACTTCGGTTTCTTTTAGATCTACGGAGTTTGGTAAAACTTTAGGTTAGAATAATCTTAGATTTGGGTTTAGAAAAATAAGGGCTTCGATTTGGGGCACTTTTGTAATCTGACCACCGTGTATGGTGGTCGGCGGCGGCGCCGCCGTCGACGGACGGTGGTCGGCTGGTGATCGGCTCTCCCTTCTGTGAGGGAAAACTAGAGAGAAGGGAGAGCTTCTAGAGAGAGCCAAAGAGAGAAATAAAAAAAATGTTAAATGACCTATTTATACCCACTCCAAAACTACGTCGTTTTGGAGAGGGACCTCTATGCAAATTTACGCATGAGTAAATCTCGTCCTCAGTCCCTGTAAGTTGTATTTATTTTGTTTTAGTCACTAAAATCGAATTCTGAACTTTTAAATTTGCTCTCGTAATTTTATTTTATTTTATTTTAGTCCTTATATATATATATATATAGGATAAATAGTGCATTTAGCCTCTTTAAATTTATTAATTTTTATTTTAGTCCCGAATAACTAATTAAGGGTAAATTACACTGTTGGCATCTATATTTTATGATAATTCAAATTAGGCCATTAATTTATATATTTTACATTTTAATCCCTAATAGTTTGATAATTTTTATTTAATATACTTTTCAATTTAATTTTATAATTTTAATTTTTTTATCATTATTTATTTGTAATTTTATTTTGTTTTATATTATTACTTTCGATATGTTTAAATTATTATTATTATTTTTTTATTATTTTCATTTAGTCATATAAATATATATATATATATATATATATATATATTTGTTTAAATAATAATATTTATTTATTTTTAATATTAAGAAATGGGTTGTCTTAAAGCAACTAGAAGTCATTTTCTGATATTTTTAGATAAATAAATATTTTACTTTTATAAATTATAATTTTATTATTATTAGGAAAATATTTTCTATTTATTTATTTATTTTTTAATATTAAAGAGATGAGCTGTCTTAAAGCAACTAGAAGTCTTTTTCTAATATTTTTAAATAAATAAATACTTTATTTATCATTTATAAAAATTATTTTAATATTTTTCTTCCTTATTATCCAATTAAATATGAAAAGATCATAATTAAATATGAAAAGATCATAAATTAAATTCATATTTGAATTCTTAAATTTTACTATTATAGACAATTTATAATCGACAAGGACCAATTTTGGGTGTTGTGAGAGTGCTAATCATTCTCTAAACGTAACCGACCAAGAATCCCTTTTTATTATTAAAAAGAATAAATTTTTGGTTAAACGCAAACCAGTTTATCTTTTATATGATGTTTTCTTAAAAACTCTTTTAAAAGATGATTTTGTAGGTATTCGACCTACCTGACCCAATAGGCCGATGGGGACTCCCAAAATATTTCATTAAAAAACCATTTATTCACATTATTTTTCCCGCCAAGAAAAATTTCGTGTCCGGGCGAAAACCGGTTACGACAAAGGTGATGTCACCTCCATTGCATGCCAGCCATGCTTTCTTTGGTCATATTGTTCTCCATCTCCCCAAATAGTATATGCTTCTTCTCCGTGGACGGAGTCGTCTCCAATCTCGAGCTGGTTATCTGGCATTCTCAATGGTATACACAGCCTTATCATTAGAAGAATCAACGTCGACGTTACATTCCAACCAATAACAAACAAGGCTGCTACTATTTGCTTCGCCAATTGAACCCCTCCATTCCCCCCATATAATGCACACCTTGTGTCCTTCGGCAGTATCAACCTGCAGAGGTGTGGCTCCGCCAGTAGCCCCATGAGGAGACCGCCCATCAGGCCGGCCACTGCATGCGTGTGAAATACACCCAGAGCATCATCCACCTGTGGCCATGATTATGTGAGTGTGAAAATATACCAATCAACATTACGGAACATTTCCATGTGGACATGTCACATACCTTTTGTAACCACGTGCATTTCTTGTGAATTATCATCATGGATGCCCATGGAACACTGCCGGCAAGCATTCCGATAATTATAGTAGCCCAAGATTGCAACAAGCATGCTCCCGGCATGATGCAAGCGAGTCCGGTAATCATTCCATGAACCACGCCGATAACGGAAGGTTTCCCGAAGAACACGACATCGAGACATGTCCAAACAAGAAAGCTGGTTGCTGCCGAAACATTTGTGTTAAGTACCGCTATCGAAGAGTCGATACTTGCAGCATACGGTGCTCCTCCATTAAACCCTGACCATTCAATCCCCAGCAACCCAGCACCAGTGAGTATCAGCAGAATGTTGTTCGGAATAAACCTTTCTCTGTCGCTCTTGATACTGGGGCCAACCCAGTATGCAGCTGTGAGACCGGAGACCCCGGAGGAGAGGTGAATCATATATCCGCCGGAGTAGTTGATGGCACCCCATCGATAGATAAAACCACCACCCCAGAAGCTACAAGCTCCGACGGTATAGGAGAATATAAGCCAAAGTGGCGCAAACGACATCCATGCCCTGATATTCATGCGACCAAGAACAGAACCAGGCAGCAGGATAAGAGTGATAGCAGCGAAATTGAATTGGAAATACACAAGCGTCGCCATGGGATAAAGAGGCTCGGTGGCGACTCTCTAGGGTATATTGGCTCGGCCGACGAGGTAGCTTTGGCGGATAGCCGGTGCACCTTTCCCCCAGAAAAGGGAGGAGCTCGTCACCAAAGGCCATACGGTAGCATAAAAGGACCCAACAAATCAGAACTACAGCAAAGGCATAAAGAGCCATGAAAGCCGAGTTGACTGCCCATTTCTTCTTCACGATACTGGCATATAGGATTACAAGTCCAGGCATGCTCTGAATTCCCACCAGAGTCGATGCCGTCATTTGCCATGCGTTGTCTCCTTTGTTTAGTCATACGGGCACCGCTGGATCCATTTCATTTCCTGTGTAGGTTATCTGATCACCCATGGATGCTGCCAATTAATTCTGTTATACGTACTGCTTAACCACTCTTACATGATTAAAGAAACTGAGAATGCATTGAGGACCAACATTCTTATCCTTGCTTGTAACAACAGTACTAATTATTTCTGGGAATTTCTTGGGAAGGTGAGTAATATATCAAGAAACCGATTCTTATTTTATTTCATTTGATCATCCCCTTATTTAAATTAGACTTTCCAAGTTGAAAAAATATCGATTTGGGAGAAGGGCCCCGCCGTTTGACCCACATATACAGGGATAAACATTTCACCAGTTTTGATTTTATTTAATCTAGTTGGATCCATTTTCTATTTTGAAAAATTGGATTTTAGTTCAGGTTGGATTCTTTTAAGAGTGGGATAAGATCGGGTTTGACTTTAGGTTAATAGAATTGACTCGAGTTGATCAATCTGAACCAACATAATATTATATTATCTTTTATATATTTTGAAGTAATGAAAATTATCATTTATATTTTTTAATTAAATCTTTATTTTATCTAATAAAAATAATTATATATATAAATATGATCAAACTCAAGTTTTAATCTAAAAATTAGATCAAAATGGATCGAATAAAATCTTTTTAAACCTAAATTAGAATAAATATAAATGAAAAGATTTAACTTTTAAGTTGGATTTAGATAAATTAAAAAACCAATCTAACTCATGACCATTCCTATATGTGTAAGCCAACTTGCTAAGGTTGAGATGGGTGAGTGCATGTGATAATAGAACACACCCGTTGGCATGGTTTGTTGGAATCATAAAACCCATATCTAGATGATGCACTTGTAGCCTAATCAAAGGGATGAAAATAGGACTGTGGAATTCAAGTTGTAGGGGCTACCTAAGCATGTGTTCGGTGTGGATGGTTCCATAGAAGTGAGGGGACGCTAAAATAGGTAAACGACCATATTTGCATCCCTTTCACTCTACATTGGCTGACCCAATTAACCATTTTCACATGCTCTTTCTTTAGTTTATTTTTATAGATAATCTACCTTTTTATAAGGGGAAAGTAAACAAATAGTTTGCGATATTTTATTAAGTCCTATGATTATTAAAAGTTATAAAATGATCCCAACTATAAGACGATCATTTCATAGTCATCAGATTAACGTCCAGCTCGGTCTGTAGTCGATTTTTAACCAAAAAATGAAGAATTTAGAACTTATGAATAGATCGAGTTTTGCAGAAGCTCGTTATAGGGACAATCCTCTCAACTTAGTTTGTTTCATTCACAATCGTCAGAATTCGAACTTCTAATATTACTTAAGAAATCTAATGTCTCGTCTCATTAGACCAACTTCTTGTTGATTTTAGATAAACCACTTCAAATATTATTTACATCAATTTTACAATATAACTTTATTATTAATCTAAGGATGATTATAAGGTAATATTTGCTCCATTCATTTAACAATGAACGTTCAAACATCCCTGACATGCGATGTACCTGAACCTAAGACCTCTAGAGATGACAATTATCCATCTAACCCAGGTTCGTATATTTCATCATATAACTTTAAATTGATTGGATTACACCATTATAATAATAATAAGATGCAAATTTTGATATCAAAATATCTTCTAACCATAATTACAATTACTTTATAATCTTAATTTAAAAAAAATCAAAATATGAAATTAATTGCATTTATTATTTACTTAAACATATAAATCATAAAGAAATATGATTTGAAACCATAATTTCCGTATATCATAAAAATATACATAAATATTTAGCATTATTTACTAATATAATTCTGTCTGCGTTCTCTTGCAAATAAATAAAACTTTGGAATCTACATCCACAAAATTCAACTAATTTCACTTACTAGTTTTTAATATGTTATTTGTGAATTATTATATTTGTTTAAGAAAAAATTAAAACATTTAACCTAGATTAAATTATTATGTGTTGATTCTATTGAATTTTTAAGGTAAGTGAGAGGTTCATATTAGATAAATCAAACGAACGAAGTCGAACGTGTGTTTGTAAATGTCCTAACTAGAATAAGTCGAGGATATAACAGTTATGATCTTTCCTCATCTATTGGATCAGTGATAACAAGTAATCATCTCGAACTATTCAATATCCATATTTTTATTTATTGAGTTTCAAATATTATTCATTGAAATATGAAATTTATAGTATCTTGACATCAATAAAAGATGAAGGTAGTGTACTGAAAAATAAAATTCAACATGGATACGTGTCAAAGTCTAAAATTTAAGGAATATCGATCTCAACATATGCAAGTAACAAGTTAAATCAAATTGTGACAGTTAAACAAATTCGAAAGATTCAAAAAAAAAATATCCCACTTCCTAATATTAACCTCACCATCTACAAGTGGCGAGATACTATTATGGACAGTAAAGACATTTTGATAAATAATGTTTGAAACTTGGGTATTTCATAAAACGGTCTAGAATAATTTGACTTTTTGATAGGAAATAAATAAAAAATGGACTTAGAATAATAGTTTTGAAGGTTTAATTGAGTGGGAAGAAGAGATATTAGTACTTTAAGCAGTTGAATTGAGTATTAGTACCAAAACTAATACTGAAGCTGGCTGGCTGTCAATCCCCAAAAACTTGAGTTGTTTTGATCGCATCCACTACTTTAAGCAGTTGCCTGATCTGGACCACATTGCACAGATCTTGTTTGTTCCTATTGGTGTGTGGTAGTAGTAGTGATATGCTAGGAGAGTGTGAGTTGTACCGAAAAAAAAGAAAAAGAGATATGTCATCACTCATTGCAGAGTCTCGATTAAGGTTTCCTAAACATGCTCCACATTTCGGATTCTATGTTTACGTTGCTATATCATCGACTTTCAGGGAGGAATGTATACAGTTGTGAAAAAGGGTTTGGTCTGGCGTGGCAACCAGGCAAGCAAGAATTAAGCTGCAAACAGAGTTGAACTCTTTGGATTAAACCAACCGGGGAAGGTGTGATCAATCTGTAATGAGAGCAGCAGGTAAGATACTACGAGGGAGGAGGAGAATCACTGTCCAATATAAAGAAAACCACTTTCATACTATCAAGGATAACTATATACAAACTTGATTACATCTTTCAAAAAAGAAAACCCATGCAGCAGGTTCAACTAATGGCATTTAGTATGGCCTGTAAACCAAATGGAATCTCCATTCCTGATCTCCACAATTAACAAAATGAACCATCTACGCTCGAGAATTCACTACACTTGACGAATTGAATTTCAAAGACTATGAGCCATAATGTTGTATCTCCAATTAAGTTAAACTAATTTAGAGGTAAGTTCTGGTAGAATCAAAGCACTGTAAATAGAGAGCCCTTCTAAGCCATTTCACATACAATATGGGGAAGGAAATCTTAAGTCTTTTGTTGTGGGGGGGGGGGGGAATCAAGAAAACAATTCAGAAGATATGAAGAATAGAAGTCTTCAGAGATCTCACAAATCAAAATGAAGATATGGGAAATATTGATCGACTCCAAAATTTAAATCCAATGCACTATTCAATCAAACATAGTGCATTCTCTTCTACCGTTATCCAGAGTGTCAAATGATTATGGAAATAAATCTTGTAACCTAAAAATAGCTGAGGTGGCGCTTCTCAATCTTTTATTTTCAATCAAAATCATGAACTAAACAAACAGGTTAATCTAAACGTAACATGTGTGCCAATTGCTCAATGACAGGCTGCCACATAATGAAAAGAGACCTAAACATAGAATCAATACAAGCACAATGCTATGATGATTTTATATCTCCTTTTTACATGGTTAGCCATCATATTCCCCCGGCACTTCTCAATCTGGAAAACCACAATGTCCTATTTTGAATCAAAGCATAATACATTCCTACCATGTATCAAACAATTCAACTGATCACATGAGTTATGACTAGAACAATGAATTACTAGTCGAACCATGTATCAGACGACCTTTTATTTAGGTCCGATTTTGATACCATGAGAAAATATCTACAGTGAAATAAATAAATAAATAAAAGCTGTATAATATACGAAGATATAGATTCGATACGTACTCATTTCTCTGCATAGCAATTGATAAACCATGTCTGTCTGCAACAAAAACAGAGTTAACAAAAGGAAATACGATAAAGAGAAAACCACAAGACTTTCAAAGGATAAACAGAATGCTAAACCTTGTTCACTTTAGATCACTAATTCAACACATATCCCTATATTAACAAGTTCAAAGAAGCTTTTAGCTTCAACAGGGTTTTGAAGGTTCAACATTAACAAACATTCATTTATTCACCCAAAGAAAAAAGAGCAGCAACAGTTTTTCATGCTATACTCTCAGCCCTTATTTCCCCCCACAAAAAGTAGGTACCATACTACCACATGCCAGAAAGGCCCAAATCAAAGAAAAACCAACTGGGTCAGCAAATCGGTCGAGTTGAAGCTGCTTCAAATCATTCCACTCCTCCTCACTTGACCTTGGGAACGCCCACTTTGAGCAGATCCATCAATAAATGACGAATCCCATAATACGTATGGTAGGACAGGGCTAAGGCAGAAACTGAGGTGGACACTAGGAAAAGCTTTGCCGAATAAAAGAAGAATTGGTAGAAACTCGAATAGGTTAAGCAAACCGAACCCATTTTCAGAGAAAGAAGATAAGAAAACAGAAGCACGGTGGTTAGGAAAGCCCCGGAGATTCTATTGGTAATCGAAAGCGTCGCATTAAGCTGTGGCTTGTAAACAGGAAGATGAGGAGACAAGGGGCGAAGGATATTTTTAGACTCGCTGGTTTCCCCCTCGCCTTTTGCAAGCGTTGCCATGCCACGGGAAGCGGAGAGAAACTGGCTCTTCATGAATTGATCCCTAATGTTCACGGCTTGGTTCGGGCTCCTTGTTGGAGAGAGAGGATCAAACTCATCTGCGACACGAAAAAAGGAAGGGTCA